ACGGATTAAGAACATAGAGTGTCACCACCCCAATTCATCCCGTGGGTGTCGTAAGAGCCGACTTAGAAAGCAAACTACGCAGGACAACAGCACTGCAAAAACCCTATACCAACCCGTCTGGCCAGCGTGGTATAGTAGGCCAAAACCTCCTTTCTAAGTAGAGGCCTACGTATGTTCAGCAGTGGACTATTAAAGGCTGTAATAATGAAGCTAAAAGCTTGATAGTCACTTAGTCAGCGGTTATTTCTAATCCCTACGTCTGGACTTAAATGATTCGTTTTAAAGAGTCCAGCAGATTAGGTTTGGTAACTATCTGGTGATGATGTAAGGAGGTGGTATTAGTTTTGGTAAACTGTTTCGATCAATACTATGACTAAGTTTTCTGTTTCACGAAGTTATATGATAGAAACTGCAAGGCACTGACTGGTTAAACATTTCTGGATTATTTTAATAAGAACTTCGGACAGTCCTCTCCAGAAAATGACGTAGGTCTACCCTAGGCAGTTACCCTTTGTTAATAAGGGCAGAGTTCGTTTACTATAAGTGAGGGGATTGTTATATGATGGCCAGGACCCGTGGCATAATTTTTAACTGCTTCATGCCAGATTTTGTCATATCCAAAAAAAACTGGATATGTGTTGCCACCATAAACTGTTTACTGTAAAAAAGTAAAGTAACAATCTAAATTATGTTACGTAGAATATACTAAAAAAAAAACTTGTCAGTTTTTTTTTTATGTTAGAGGGGGCAGACGAGCAGACGAGTCACCTAATGGAAAGCAACTACCGCCGCCCATGAACGCTTGCAACTGAGGAGTCACAGCTTCGTTTACAGTGATCTTTTTTTTTAAATAGGATATAGTAGTGCAGAGAAGTGGAAAAAGACATGTCGTTACAGAACGTTAAAAGAGAAACATATGTGTGTTTTTGTCTCTTTAAGCGGCCATAATGCTCGGTTGAATTTTTTACCCACTAAAAAGTTGTCTAAATTTTGGAAAAAGTAATAGTCGGTAGGTGCAAAGTCTGGTGTGTACCGAGCAACCAGCTTTGGTCAATCGGTCGTCCCCACTGCTCCTTCACGACAACGCGCCGACCCCATACTGCGCAACAGACAGTCTCCAATCTGCAAGAGCTGGGGTTGGAAGCTCTCCCTCATCCGCCATACTCACCAGACCTTGCACCTACCGACTATTACTTTTTCCAAAATTTGGTAATTACTTCGAATAACAGAAATAAAAAAGTTTGAAAAAATAAGTACTTTCACTCGTTGCATACAAAACGGCAATTTCATAGGTAATACCTATTATCATTTTTATATGCAACTGCGACTGTCGGCATCAGGGCGACAACTAAGGTGGGCACTGAAAATCAGTACTGAGGTGGCATCTATCCACCACAGTGTGCACTTAGGGTCCACCTATTTTCTGAAGCACGGCGTACAATCCTCAGCAACATTAAAGGTTTTTCATGGTACATAGGTTGAAAAGTACTAACATAGTTATTATAAGTAAAATGTTATAGACGCGTGGTTGGATACGTGGCACATTGACGTGTTATGTCAGTTCTGTCAGAAATGAAAGATTGACACATTGAAAGATGTTGCTGTTATCAAAACTGACTTGATTTTTAGTTTCTTTGTGTATGTTGTTTTTAACTTTTATTATTATTCTATTCTACATATGCTGTGGTGAATTTTAGAACTTTTAAAGGGAAACAATTCTGTCATACATGTTTTTTTGCGAAACTTGAACCGTTTATGCAACGGAAGCTCTTAAAAGGCATAATTTACCCACTTTTTGAAAAATAATAAATACTTTATACGCCGCTCCTATTAGTCATTCGCCTCATGTAGATGTCAACACTCAAATATAACCACTATATATAAATTTACTAGCTGACCCCGGCAAACGTTATTTTGCCATATACATTATTTCTAGGAAATATAAAAAACAAATTAGGGGTGGGTCACCCTTGTCTTAAAAATAGATGTTGGCCGATTCTCAGACCTACCCGATGTGCACACAAAATTTCATAACAATCGGTCCAGCCGTTTCGGAGGAGTATGGTAACTAACATTGTGACACGAGAATTTTATTTATAAGAAGATAAGTATATGAAGGATGTGATAATATCTCATTAACAGTTATCTCGTATACGAACCCAGACAGTGCACAAAAAACGGTATTTTTAATGAAGTAAGAATCCTCTAACTAGTTGTAAATTTACATTAAATGGTAATAACGAGTACACATATAAAAGTTCAATCAAGTAACGTTATAAATACATATATAAGTTTATTTCTTACGCTGAAACTACTGAAACGAATGTTATAAGATGTTTCTTACAATGATATCAAAGGTGTTTAGGAATCATCATCATCAACAGCCTGTAACAATCCACTACTGAACATAAGCCTCTCCTTAAAAAGAAGGTTTTGGCCTACTATACCACGTTGGCCAGACGTGTTGGTATAGTGTGTTTAGGAATACGTCTTAGTAAATATTTAGTCACAAAACATATAATTAACATTGAATTGTTAGTCTGAAGTATCGTTAGTTACTTTTTCAATGTAAATGTATTGGTATATGTACTCGTATGTGTATGTTGTGCGTGTGGTGACGGATTAAGAACACGCAGTGTCACCACCCCTATTCATCCCGTGGGTGTCGTAACTAAGGGAGCAAACTAAGCAAAACAACAGCACTGCAAAGAGAAGGAAAACTTGACACAAAACCTATACCAACCCTTCTGGCCAGCGTGGTATAGTAGGCCAAAACCAACAGCCTTTAATAGTTCAACAGTGGACTATTAAAGGCTGTTGATGTCAATGATGTGTATAGGTGTGTTGTAATAAGAAAAAATCCTATTCACTTATCACAATTTTATTGAGCACGCGTTAATAAATTCTTGCAACTTTGTCGAGATTCAAAACACGTTTTCATGGTCTCCGTGTAGTTTTCGATACTGTGAATATCAAGTAATTATGTAAGGCATACGAGTACATATCTCTGTTTAAGTTTTTTTTTATACTTCATGGGTTACAATTAGAATTTAGTTGGATAAAACATGTTATGACTCATCCTGAATGTAATTTTATTCTTTGTTGCTAAAAACTGTTTTTTTTTTTTTTGGGTGTTTTTATATTATACAATAACATCGTTATAAAAAATGAGTTTTTTACGTTAAGTTACGGTTTTACACACGTACGCATCTTATAAGAGCCTAGCGAGGGCTCTTTGTTAAAAGGTATAGCGGCTTGTTACCTATGTGTCATGTGTTGTACTGTTGTTTGTTTTTTGTTTTTAAAGGAAAAAGCTACTCCTTTAAGATTTTTTGTTGTAGTTTACTTCTTGGACTTCTCAGACTGTTCCCAGATCTGACAAAATCTCTTTAAAACAAATCTTTGCTACATAGGCTAATCACACTGACCATAATAATAGAAAAAAAACAAATGTGGGTATTTCATATTATTTTACAACAACAGATAAAACTTAAAAAATGTGTAAGTGCAAGAAGATATTTAATAAAAGAATTTGACCAGGTGGAGTGAACGATTTGCGCAAGATGGCTGGCAGGAGGTGGATGCGAGAGCCCAAAATTAATCTATGTGGCGTGCTATGGGAGAGGCCTATGTCTAGCAGTGGACTGCGATAGTCTGATGGTGATGATGATGATGATGAATCTGTCACTTGATTCTGATTGAGAAAAAAAATAGAAGTTTGGTTTGCATTTCGGTTCAAGCAGCTCATTATATCGTATCTTAAGGTTGAAATGAAATCATTCTAATGCAAAGGCAACTAAGATAAACAGCCTAAAATGTCAGATTTAATTGTTGTTGTATAAAAAACATCAAAGCCTATATTTACTTAAAAAGTAAATTGTCATGTCTTCTAGAATTTTCGCGGGAAGATCACGCCACTCTTAACAAATATATTTCCATAAAATATTAAATTAATAAAAAGATAAAATTAGTTTGGTAGTAAATTTGTATGGATTTATAAAGGTTTTATCGTTTGACCTTTAATATTTAACATAATATTTTTTATACCTATGAAACAGAATTTAAAACGAGTATGTATAATTTAAAACGTCTAAAAAGATTGTATTATAATTTTTGACATTAATGTAATTTTAACAAATCCTTAAATTGTTTTTTTTTTGTGTTACGTTGTTTCGCATGCAGTTTTGTTATCAATATCAAATCTGTTTTTTTAAATTTACTATTTATTAACATTTTTTTGGTAAATTACAATTCTAATATGCAAGGTACATTTGCCTTATATGCAAAACGTGGTGTTTCCCACTTTTTTGTATACAAATATCTAATCAACATTAATTAGTTATGTTTAATTTTAATTACTGTAACTTAGTTGTAAAATACATTTGAATATTAAATTTTAAGCGGATGTAACGGAAAATTTATTGCTTATTTTATTTTTATTATATGATTTATTTTTGTGAAATATTTTCATTTAAATATTTAATTCAATCCGTGACTTTTATTTGTATTTATGTTATAATAAGCTTTCAAATATACATTGTTTTGAATTATATATATATTTTAAAGTTCACATACTAGAAAAAATCATTTATAATTTTGAAAGCTTTTTATTTCACAATGTAATTTATGTAACTAGATTGTATGTTTTAAATTTAAAACAGAAACTTTATTATTTTTATAATTTTATAAAATTTTATAATTTATTTTGTAATCTCATTTTATATACATGTATTGTATATTTATAAACAAATTCAAAATAAATTATAACATATCTTTTTATATTTAATTGCTGTATAATATGCATATGTATATATAATATACATATATCTACGTATAAATTTCAATATATTTTTTCATATCTCATTATTTGTTAAAATAAATAAAAATATGAATTAACGTACCCTAGGCGAATGTAAAAAAAAATTACCTCAAAAATCTATAATTCAAACACCCTACTAACTTAACTATTAAAAATAAATAAATAAATAAAATAAACTTACATAAATCTTCCCGCCGAACTTACCACTCCACACTGTCACTCACAACACACTGAAACAATTCACGACAGATCTTTGCTTATTACCAGTCACAGTGGTTTTTTTTTTTTAAGTTTTTTTTTTCTCAACACGCTCGGAGCTCACTTTCGTTCGTCGAGTAGGAACAACCGCATTTAAGATGCGACGGAGTCTTTTATACAAATGTTTATGAAACAACATATGACCTCGGGCACTGAATCATTGAGTTTAAGTTTTTTTCAAAGGGTTCTGTCTCTTCGATTTTTAAATAATTATGATCACTATGGATTTGACATCGTCTAGGCAATAAAAAAAAATTGAATTGAATATTTTCGAAGGACGTTTTTTTTTATTTGATAATTATTGTTTTTTTGCTGCATTTTAGTTTGTAACAATTAAATTAATTACTAAGACTTGATAGGCTGAATATATTAGTGGTTTAATTACCCGGCTCTGGTAAGCTCGATAAGCGGATTATAAAGCTATGTATATTTATATGTTTGGGCTTCCTCTTTTTGTTGCTGACCGAGTTGAAATCCTTTCGACTCTCCGATTCCTTGTGTCATCGCGTAAAAGTAAAAAAGTATGAGTTGTTTACACTTAAAACCATGTGGACGGGTGACCTTAGACACTCTACTATTGGGTGGATCTGGACCATGCGATTTCAATGTCCCCCACGGCGCCGCTACAGGTCCTATCCCGGAGGAAGCCGCAAGCTTCGCCCATGTATGTGCGTCCCTATGTTCTTAATAAATGTCGATACATTTGTTTTTACTGCACAAGCTTTACTGAATATTTGAAGGTTATAACATTCAATAATGGCGTATTTTTAGCGCCAAAATGGATGTCACTATTTTTTTCTAACCTCTCGAGTTTGGCTGTAATACAAACATTACAAATTTGTTTGTTTTTCAAAATACAGAATTTAATTTTTTTATGACGAGATAACTATTTATTTTTATTTGAGATGTCGTAAAATGGTTCTGGAGCTGTTAACTATAACTCCCTATAAACATACATCCTGTGGTTACCCAAAGTTAGGTAACAATTGTCCGTGTGGTGACGGATTAAGAATACAAATTGTCACCACCCCTATTCATCCCGTGGGACAACAGCACTGCAGAGAGAAGGAAAACTTTAAACAAACCCTAGACCAACCCGACTGGTCAGCGTGGTATAGTAGGCCAAAACCTCCTTTCTAAGGAGAGGCACATGTCCAGCAGTGGACTAATAAAGGCTGTTGATGAGGTTGCAATCGAATTGAGCCTCAAAAACACAACAGTCCAGACTAATGCTTGTTGACTACGACCGTCTGCAATCTGCAGTTCTTTTAGAAAGTACATTTATTAATTCAACTAACTCCTCAATATTTCTGATTTCCTGTTTCAAACTTTGAAATTGATGAATTAAAATACAAACATTTACCCCTTATTTTACCTCTTCAGAGGTAAAATTTCCAAAAATCCTTTCTTAGTGATAATGAAGAGAATTTATTAGGTAACATATGACAAGTTTGAATTAGATGTCTCAAAGTGGGAGTGAAAGTACCGCTACTGGATGATAAGTTAAGAAGTAATAGGTTATCTTGGTGCTATGCCATAAAATGGGACAGTTCGAAAAGAGGGATTCGACGGCCTCAAAGAAAAACCGGTGTTAAGCATTCGTTGCTTTTCACCGAGTGAGTAAGGTTACCGGAGCCTCATACTGATCTTGGGTGGGGGGAGGGGGGCTCAAAGGTTTGCTAGTGTCCATAGGTGCCATAAGACGGACCTGAACAAGGTTAACAGTATATCCTTCTTCTTTTCATACTATAATAATAACATTAATACCCAAGAGCCTTGACGGCTGGATCAAGGGTCTGATGCAGAAGGCAGTCCTCCTTGACACGGCTCGTATAGTAAGAAGGTTCCTATCTTTGTGTATGTATCGGTGGTCTACTATTTTTTTATTTTTTATTTCTTTTGTAATATATTTAAAAATGTAATTAATATGCATTTATTATTTAATAAAGAGAATAATAACACGAGTCCAAATAAGGTTGATGAACGAAAAGAATTGATCCCTTTATAAAACGACAATGGTTTCCATAGCTGTAGTTTCCTAGTAAATCCACTTAAAAACTTAATCAGTAATTTCCATAATTAAAATGAACTTCACGAAGAAATAAACTAAGACACAATCTCATTGTTTAATTATGAAACTAATAAAATACAGTGTAATTAAATGCATTTATTTCTAACTTAAATACAGGTACGAGTACACTTTGTTTATCTCTTTTGTGTTATTTGTTGTGATTTTTTGACCTTCTCCACACCACTCTTGTCCAACTAAAGGTTGCTTGGAAAACATCGCTTCTTACAATAAGACCGCCTGTTGTGCATTTTATCTGTACATATTAATTTACTCGCCGTGATTAATCCGTGTGGTGACGGATTAAGAATACGTAATGTCACCACCCCTATTCCTCCCGTGGGTGTCGTAAGAGCCGACTAAGGGAGAAAACTACGCAGGACAACAGTACTGCAAATAGAAGAAAACTTGAAACAAACCCTTTTTTTTTTTTTTTTTTTTTTTTAACGTGTGGAAATCCCCTCGGACCGTCACCCCTCCGGGGTTTGCGGCGGGGTGGTGTGTCGGACTCGGACCGACCTAAAACCACACGGTGTGCCACTCTGCGCCTGTAACAGGAGGGATCCGGGAACAGCTGTTGTTAAGACATCCCGGACCCCTCCTAGCGCCAGCCCGCTCCTGGTGCGGGCTCCGTCTCAATACATTTCCTCTCTTTAGGCGACGTCCGGCACACGCGGACGCCGCCCCCTCGCGGCTGGCCAACTAATGCGGGTGGAGGGGAAACCCACCCCGTCCACCCGCGGCCACACTCAGTGGCGGCATGAGGCTGTGGTAGGCGGGCCTCCGCCGCCCGGTTCGCCGGCGGCGGATCGGGTCCGAGTGGAGGTCGTCCTCCCGGGCCCTCTCCGCCGCCTCCTTCCGCGAGATTACTACCTCGCAGAAGGTTGCGACCGCGGTAAAACAACTGTCGCTACCGGCTATGGAGCGTACTACGGCCGGTAGCGAGAGATCCACTCCGATGACTGCAGTGCGGGCCCGGCGCTGCGCCGGCCATGCGGGGCCGACCGCCAGCGTGTGCTGGGCCGAGTCCTCACTGCAGTCGCAGTGGTGGCAGGCGGGGACTCAGTTCCCTCCTAGCGACCGTGTGCAGGTACTTTCCGAAGCAACCATGCCCGGAAAGCACCTGCGTCAGCCGGAAGGAAAGGGTCCCGTGCTGCCGCCCTGCCCACTCGGCGATGACCGGCTGGAGAGCCTCCACGGCGGCAAAGCCAGCGCGTGGAGTCTCCAGCCGGAACGACCAACGAGCCATCGTGGCTCGGCGAGCGGCTTCGCGCCACTCGCGCACATCCTCGGGCGGAGGGCGAAATCCGCTCTCCGCCCGGTAGTCAGCCACTCGCCGATAAACTTCGGCGAGCACTTCCGCCTCCAAAGTACACGGGGGAGTTCCGGCCAACGCGCACGCCACCTCCGTCGAAACGGTGCGGTAACCGCGTATGGCTCTGACCGCCATTACCCTCTGAGGGCGCCAGAGGCGTACCCTATTCTGGGCGGTCAGAGCCGCCGCCCACACCGGTGCACCGTACAGTGCCATTGACCGGACAACCCCCGTGTACAGCCGTCTTGTCGCGACGCTGGGTCCACCCATATTGGGCAAAAGTCGCCCTAGGGCAGACGCAGCGCCGACCAGCTTTGGAGCAAGCTGTCGGAAGTGCTCGTCGAAGAGCCACCTCCCGTCGAGGATCAGGCCCAGATATTTCATCTGGGCCCGAACCGGTACGAGGACCGAGTTGACCACTATTGAGGCGCCAGGGGGTGGACCACGACGGGGCCCATGGAATAACAGGGCCTCCGTCTTATCTAGGGCCACCCGTAAGCCCAGCGCCTCAATGCGCCCGACCACCAGGGAGACTCCCCCTGTGGCCAGGCGCGCCGCCTCTTGGAAGTTTGCCCCCCGGGCTGTCACGAGGGTATCGTCTGCGTAACAGATTACACCCAGCCCGGGGGGGAAATCGGCGCGAAGGGCCCAGTCGTACCCTATGTTCCACAAGAGGGGTCCAAGAACAGACCCCTGTGGAACACCGCACGACATGGGCCGACTCCTCAAATTACCTTCTCGGTCCTCGTACACGACGGTACGCTCCTCTAAGTAGTCTGCCACTAGCCGCCTCAGGTACTTTGGCACCCCATGATAGTGGAGTGCTTCCCTGATGCAGCTGAATGGCAGACTATTGAATGCGTTGGCGATGTCTAATGACACCGCCAACAGCACGCCGCCACAGCTCACGGCCTCTTCGGTCACGGCCCTCAGGCGCAACACGGCGTCGACTGTCGAACGCCCCGCCCGAAAACCAAATTGGGCGTCCGACAGATCGGGGCCCACCTCGCAGAGGTGCCGGACGATGCGGGCAGAAAGAACCCTCTCAAACAATTTGCCCGCCTCGTCCCAGCAGCACGATGGGCCTATAGGGCCGCGACCGAATCGGCAGGCCGTCCCGGCTTCGTCAGTAGGACCAGCTTCCCGCTCTTCCAGCACTCAGGGAAGCGTCCCGACGCCAAGCTAAGCGTCGAACACCTCCCCGAGGCGGTCTGCCATGTGGTTGAGGGCCAGGGCCTAGCACTCGGGCCGGTACCCCGTCTGGCCCAGGGGCGGTGTTCTTGGAACGGATCCGTAGAACAGCCGCCCCTACCTCCGATTCCCGGACGGGCGGAACATTGTCCTCCCCGTGCTCCCCGTCGTCTCCGGCCAGGGAGGCCATCGACGGGGGAGTGTGTTCCGCCCGTTGTGGGAAAAGGCCCTCAACCACTTCTCGCAGGAAGCTGGGCTGGAGAGTCTCCGTAAGGGGGGGGGCCCGACGCGCGGAGCTTTTGTCGCACCGCGCGGTAAGGGCGACCCCAGGGGTCACGATTAAGACCCTCCAGCATCTCCTGTCTTTTTTCCTCTTTGGCGCGGCTAATGGCCAGCTTCAGAGTTTTCCGCGCCCGTCGGTACTCCTCATGAAGCCGGTCCTCCTCACCGTCTCCACGGTGACGCCGCCGACTGCGCGTGTAGGACCTCCGGGCACGTGTACAGGCCGCACGGAGGTCCGCCAGCTCCTGGGACCACCAGTAGACCTCCTTCCTTGGAGGCCGACGACCTCGAACGCGGGGCATGGCCGCATCGCATACATGCGTAATCGCATCGCGAAAGCGGCCAGCCCCCACGTCGACCTCCTCGGTCGGAGCCTGAGGAGACAGCCACGAGTGAATTATGGCTGCCTCCTCTAGTAGGTCCCGGTTCAGCCTGGCAACAGCCCACCGCGGAAAGCGGGATAAACGCCGCGCCACGTGACCCCTACTGGAGTCCTGGGTCCGGGAGAGCTCAAATCGGATATACAGGTGATCCGAGAGCGTCTCAACCTCTTCCAGGACACACCAGTTCCTTACTCGTGCGGCGAGGACAGGGGTAGCGAACGAAAGGTCCACTATCGACCCCCCCTGCTGTCGCACGCACGTGTTGGTGGAGCCTCTGTTTAGAAGACAGAGGCCCACCGAGGCCGCCCACTCCTCTACGGCCTCGCCCCTGGCGTCCGCCCTGGGGGAACCCCACGCAATGGACTTTGCGTTGAAGTCCCCCAGCACAAGGACGTGCCCAGACGCTAGTCGCCGTATCGAGGTCTCCAAGCTGGTTAGGAAAACCTCGAAGTCGTTCAAACTCCGGTTGGGGGAGAAATAGACACCATATATGGTGATCCCCCCCCACTCGACGGCAACATATCCAGTGCCCTTGTCTCTTAGCGACAAGGGCGGGGAATGAGCCGTCGTGGAACCGACGACTGCCACGGAGCCGTCCCAGTCACCCATCCAGTTTGGACGGGGAGGGACAGAATAGGGCTCCGCGACTACGGCAACACCTATCGACCACTGTGCCATGGTTTGCAGGAAGAGATCCTGCGCCGCGGCACAGTGGTTCAGGTTCGTCTGGACCAGGAGGTTGGAGACTTGATCCATTACTGGATCGTCTCTACAACCTCCTCCATGGGCGACGACGTCGACGCACGAACTACATCGGAGGCAGCCTGGGTCGACTGGCTAACCCCCGACGTCTGCCGAGAACTGCGGGGAGGCTTGCAGCCTCTCTGCCCCATCTGGTGATTGGCGGGCTTATTGCCCGCCGCACACACTGGGCAGTGAGGGGCGGCAGAGCATTCTGCCGCCTTATGCCCCGGTTGACCGCAGCGGAAACACAGTCCGCCGCAGTCAAAACAACTGTCGCACTTGACGCGCGTGTGTCCCGATGCTAGGCATTTGTAGCATCTCATCGGTCTCGCCGCCAGGACTGTGATCCTGGCGCTCACGAAACCGATGAGCAGCCTGCCGGCGTCGGCCAATACTTTGGCCGACGCTACGGGACAGCTGACCCACACGGCGCCAAGCCCTCCTGGACCGGGGCGGATGGTGCCGACCCTGACGTTGTCCGCGCTGCACCCCGTCTTCTCCCGGATTACAGCGCGGACATCTTCGGCCGTCACTGAGTCGTCCAGGCCCGAGATGCGCAGTTCCGCGCACTTGGTAGGCCTGGCGACCCTGACACCATCTGTGGCTGCAAATATTCCCCGCAGCTTCTCAGCGAAGGAGTCCGCCGTCTTTGCGCCTTCGGCCCCAGGGAACTCGAGAACTCGAGCTCCCGTCTGGGCGAGGCGCATCCTGACCCC